TATATATATATATATATCTGAAAGAATTCTACATTGAGGTAGATGAAGAAAGGAAGCTGAAATTAATTCTGAGGTGTACAGCTGACCGGTTCCCTAGATCTGGGACCCCTCAGCAGATGAGGTCCATGCCAGGAGTATAGGTGCCCATATCTTACCCAGCATCTTGCTGAGCTCCGCATTGTGGAGGTCCGGGTTCTGCACTGCCAGCCTCTTCCTCTCGTCCTTTGCCCAAACCATGAAGGCATTCATGGGTCTCCTGATCCGGGTCTCTGAGCCTTTTTCCCGGGGGGATCTATGGGGGGACAGTCCATCTGAGAGGTCTCCGTCCATGGTAGAGCAGTCCAAGCCTTCCGACCATGAGTAGGACCCTATGAGTGCGGTCATAGCTCCTGCTGAGTGTCAGGTCTGGGTAGGGTGATATGAGCAGCTCCTTCCTGGTCGTTCCAGACACTCCTCGTCAAGAGACACTCCTTAAAGAGTGTGCAAGCAGTTCCTGGCAGCCCGGGCCATTTATCAGCTCTTGAGAACATGTCCTCCAATGAGTAAATCAGCCCAGCTCCTCCCAGGAGCCGTAAAAAAAAATGACACAACCTTACTCCAGCCCCAGGCTGCAACTGCTCCTCTCACACCAAGACAACGTGCTTGAGCCAACACACTCTTTAGCACAGACTGGCATGCTTTACTTGATAGAACCTTTGCCATTTACACCAAGGTTCCTCCTCATTTACACCAAGGTTCCTTACCATTTACACCAAGGTTCCTCGCCATTTACACCAAGGTTCCTCCTCATTTACACCAAGGTTCCCTGCCATTTACACCAAGGTTCCTCACCATTTACACCAAGGTTCCTCACCATTTACACCAAGGTTCCTCCTCATTTACACCAAGGTTCCTCCTCATTTACACCAAGTTTCCTCCTCATTTACACCAAGGTTCCTCGCCATTTACACCAAGGTTCCTCGCCATTTACACCAAGGTTCCTCCTCATTTACACCAAGGTTCCCTGCCATTTACACCAAGGTTCCTCACCATGTACACCAAGGTTCCTCCTCATTTACACCAAGGTTCCTCCTCATTTACACCAATGTTCCTCCTCATTTACACCAAGGTTCCTCACCATTTACACCAAGGTTCCTCGCCATTTACACCAAGGTTCTGCACCATCTACACCAAGGTTCCTCGCCATCAGTTGGTAGCAGAGGTTGGGAATGTTGGGTGTCCCCACCCACCGTTGTGTGTTCCAGATTCTCTTGTTACAGTCTCCATAATACGAAATAAGTAAAAACAATCCAGCAAAGTTGGTGGGAACCCCTCAAATTGGGCACAGGGGGCAAACAGACCTGGGAACTCAGCACAGGGATGGTGGAAACCCCTCACAATGGGCACAGAGCTGTGCCCTACAGAAACTGAGTTCAAGGATGGCAGGATACCCTTATAGTGGGCACATTACTCAATCTCAGAGGGTGGAGAGATAACTGTGGGCCCCATTTTTATTAAGGGGCTTTCAGATTTCCATACATTTCCCCACAGACACACAGATCCTCCACATACATGTGGCCTTTTAGGGTTCCGGAGGTGTAGGGCCGCATGATTGCTGCCCCTCCCTTTCCTGGACAGCCAGGCTGCCTGCACAATTAAGGGTCCGGGAGTTCCTTATCTAAGAAAAGAGTTAAGGAGACTTTGTTTACAAACAGAAAAAATCAGCTGGGAACTGTAATTTAGTGGCAATTTAAATGGTATTTTATTCCTTTGTTACTTTTGTTTTAGTACATCCATTCTGCTGCTCCCTGCTGAACACCAGGACCTCCTTCCTCCTGCTGTAGATCCCTCTAGTGATAATAAAGATCTATATAGAGGGATCAGGACCTCCTTCCCCCTGCTGGGGATCCTTCTAGTGAGAGAGGTGAGCGGTCTCTACCACAGAATCGAGGCTCAGGTGAGTATATCTTCTTTATTCAGTCCCCAAGAGAAAAAAAACTTTTTCATGAGTAAACCCTTACCTCTCCTGCTGCAGTTTAGTGACAGATGATGTTTGGGAATTGGGGAAATCATTTCATTAACCCGTGCAGTTTCTTCAGGGGTGGAGACGAGACCAGTCACACTGCACAAGGACAGAGAGCAGTAAATGGTCTTTATGTAAGAATCGTATATTTTGTTACTATTGTAACTGTCCCTGATTTCTTCTTCAATCTATACACTTCTACTTTTATTTTGCTTTTAATTACATTGTCTGATTTTGTCTCTTAGATGCTTAAAGAGCAGCACAGAGTCACATGTGTACAGAGACTGCAAATCCGGCACACAGCATTCTTCCAAGGAAAGTCACATTTTACTCCACAAAACAACCGCTGACGCGTTTCTGCCTCACTCAGCCTTAGTCACAGCTTCACTTTCATACAGAACTGTACCTGTAATAGAAGAATGAATAGAAAAATGGTTCCAGTAGTCCCTGTGTTATAAGGGATAGATAGATAGATAGATAGATAGATAGAGAGAGAGATAGATAGATAGATAGATAGATAGATAGATAGATAGATAGAAAGATAGATAGGTAGATAGAGAGAGAGAGAGATAGATAGATAGATAGAGAGAGAGATAGATAAAGAGATAGATAGATAGATAGATAGATAGAGAGATAGATAGAGAGATAGATAGAATATAGATGATAGATAGATAGAGAGAGATAGATAGATAGATAGATAGAATATAGATGATAGATAGATAGAGAGAGAGATAGATAGAGAGATAGATAGATAGATAGATAGAATATAGATGATAGATAGATAGAGAGAGAGAGAGATAGATAGAGAGATAGATAGATAGATAGATAGATAGATAGATAGATAGAGAGATAGATAGAGAGATAGATAGATAGATAGATAGATAGATAGATAGATAGATAGATAGAGAGATAGATAGAGAGATAGATAGATAGATAGATAGATAGATAGATAGATAGATAGATAGAGAGATAGATAGATAGATAGATAGATAGAGAGATAGATAGATAGATAAATGGAGGGATGGATAGATAGATAAAGAGGTTTGATGGATAGATAGATGACAATAGTAGCAATTTTCTGTTGCTGGAAATTTCTAGGGGAACTTTGAAGAACAATAACATCGCTAGGAACAGGAAACCTCATCCAAACATATTTCAGTGTAATGACATTCCATATCATACATGGGGGGGGAGGGGTTTCAGGGGGGGGGTCTCTGGTGTTTATTGTATTAATGATTCTCTCACAATTACAAAACTCACAGCTATGGATAAAATGCTCAACACGGACACACTTCCTGGTCTTACCTCCCTCCCCTCTCTGTGTTGTCACCCTACAAGAAAG